AAATGTGGATAGAGAAGAGTGACAGCCGACACAGCTAGGACTCCGCCCACCCTCCCCAGGGCTCCCGTAGGCGGCTAACGTCAGGGTCTGCATGGAAGCAGGTGTCCAGTGGCGTGGGGTCCCACGAGGGCTGGAGACGGGCCAGACCCATCTGCGCTCTTCCTCCACCACAGTCACACGTGCACCCCTAGGGCTCGGAACTGTCGGGGTGTCTGCGAAACCAGATCTCTACTTGGTTCCTCTTCCCGGGGGAAATACAAAAGCCTCCCATATGGATAATGAAGAAAGCAGCCAGGTTGTATTTCCAATGAGGCCAGAGGAAGCATTTCTGGGGCAGCCAGTAGGGAAGGGGGGTGCTGAGCCCAGGTAGGCCCACCTGGAGAGCAGTGTGTGCACTCGGCCTGCCTGGGGAAGCAGGGCCAGCGGACAGCTACTGTAGGTGGGAGTTCTCCAGCTGTGGGCCCTGGACCAGCAGCAGCGACTTTATCTGGGAACGTGTTAGGAATGAAAATTCTTAGGCCCCACCTCAGATGGGCAGAATCAGAACCTCTGGGAGTGGGGCCCAGCACTTTGTGTTTGAACAAGGCCGCCAGGTAATTCTGAGGCACGCAGAGTAGGAGACTCTTTGGGCTAAGAAGTATGTCACCATAGCCCTGAGCTCTGGCATGGGAGGCAGGGCCTGGGACACTAGGAGGTGACGCCAGGGGGCCTCCACTGGTTGAACAAATAGTAACCTTTTCTAGGTGTGCCAGCAGGTGAAAAAGGTTGGGGAACCTGCCTGAGAAGCATGCGACAGAGAAACGCTGAAGAACGAAGCCAGCCACTGCAGGGCACCTTCGTTCTTCCGGGCACAGATAAGCATTTACCCCGACTTGGAGAGCTTGTCTCCACAAGTTCCCAAGCGACTGGGCTCAGAAACCAACATCAGGTTCAAATCCTTTTGCCCAGCACGAACCCCTCGTGTTTCAGCACAGGCCCACTACTTTTTGATCAGCAGAGACAGGCAACAGAGAAAGTAAACGGCCGGGTGGAGGGGGGTCTGTGGAAGGGCCTGGCCTGGAGCAGCATGGCCAGAGGTCACCCGAGGGACA